AGGCGCCCGCCACAACGCCCGGCTATTTTTTGGTTGCAGCCATCATTGTTGTTTTGGCGGGTCCGGGCTGGGGATTCGAACCCGCCACCTTAGCTGTACGTGGCTGGCGCCTTAGCCGGTTGAGCTATAGGCGCCGAGCCAATTTTGCCATTTCTTATGATTTTTATATGGCTACTAGAAATTTGGAGGGGGGGTTGTTTTTGTTTTGTTTTTTTGAAAATGAGGTCTTACCATGTTGCCCAGGCAGGTCTCAAATTTCCAGACTCAAGTGATTCTCCTGCCTCAGCCTCCTGAGTAGTTGGGATTACAGACATGTGCCATCATGCCCAGCTGAAAATTTTAAATGTTCTAGGTGACTGGCATAAGAATGTCGTCTATTGGACTGTGCTGCTTGAGAACATATATCCCTTGAAGCAAGAGCTAGGCTTTTATTGGTTGTTGGAGACCAGTACCTGGCACTATTCTCAGGTGCACAATATATTGAATATTATGAATGCAACACAAAATAGCAGCTGACGTGTAGTCGATTGAATGGTGACCCCTCCCTCCAAGAAAAAGATGTTATCTATGACCTAGTGCCTAGAAACTATGACTGTGACCTTATTTGAAAAAAGGTAATTTAGTTAAAGATCCTGAGATGAGATCTCCCTGGATTATCCAGGTGGATAATGTCCTTAAACTCCAAAGACAAATGTCCTTAAAAGAGATAAATGGAAGAGAGACAGAGAGAGGAGAGGCCACAAGAAGATAGAGGCAGGGATTGGAATGATATGGCCACAAGCCAAGGGGTGCCTGGAGCCCCCAGGATCTGAAAGAGACAAGAAAGAGTCCTCCCCTAGAGCCTCCAGAAGAAACACAGCACTGCTAACACCTTGATTTTGGACTTCAGGTTAAATTTTTGTTTTGTTTTTGTTTTTGAGACAGTCTTGGTCTATTCCTGGGCTAAAGTGCAGTGGCATCATCATAGCTCACTGCAGCCTTAAACTCCTGGGCTCAAGCGATACTCTTGCCTCAGACTCCCAAGTGCACATGCTACAATGCCCAGCTCATTTTTCTTTCTTTCTTTTTTTTTTTTTTTTTTGGTAGAGATGGGTGTCTCACTTTTGCTCAGGCTGGTCTTGAACTCCTGGGTTCCAGAATCTTCCCACCTCAGCCAAAGTGCTAAAATTACAGGTGTGAGTCACCATGCCTGGCCAAATTTCTATTGTTTTAAGACAGCAAGTCTGTGGGTATTGGTTATATTAGCCTTGGAAACTAATCCATGTAGTATTCTTCTTAAAAAGCACATGGAAGCCAGATGTGGTAGTGCACACCTGTAGTCCCAGCTACTTGGGAGGATCACTTGAGCCCAGGAGTTCAAGATTGCAGGGAACTATGATTGGACTTCTGTACTCCAGCCTGAGTGATGACAGAACGAGACCACATCTTAAAAACAAAAACACAGTTCAACCTAGCTTGAACTCCACTGTGTGTGTGTGTAAAGAATGTGTGAATGATAATAATGGTATGAGATAACAGTTATCTCACTATAAACTGAGGTTCTCAACCAAGGGGTGATTCTGCCCCAGGAAATGTCTGGCAATATCTGGAGAAGTTATGGGGTGTTACAGCTGAGATAGGAGTGCTGCTGGAATCTAGTGGGTGGAAGCCATGGACACTGTTCAATACCCTCCAATGCCCAGGACACCACTACCCCAGGGAATGACGCAGCCACAGATAGGAACAATGCACGGCTGAGAAACTTTTCATAAACCAAGAACAAGTTTATCTCTTTACTGGCTTCTTTTCACTCATCCCTATCACTAGCCCTTGAGGATGGTCCAATTACTACTAATTCCACCATACAGGCTGGGCACAGTAGCTCACACATATAATCTCAGGACTTTGGGAGGCTGAGACAAAAGGATCTCTTGAGGTCAGGAGTTTGAGAACAGCCTGGGTGATATAGCAAGACTCCATCTCTTAAAAAAAAGAAAATTTAAAAAAAATTCTACCTCACACAAAGGGGAAACTGAGGCATGGGAAATTCAAGGAGCTTGCCTGAGGCCTCATAGTTCATCCACACTGGCCAAGTCCTTTTTCTTTATTTCTATAGGATGTGAAATTTTTAAAAAACCTGTTAGTGCATTGAGTTTATATAACTTTTCTGTTGTTGTCTCAAACTGGAATGAGGCTAGAATGAAACGATGCAGCAGAGGAAAAAGCCCATGTGCAGATACTTTGTTCCAGTCTTACTAAGCCTCTGGGTCCTTCTCTGCAAAATGGGGAGACGTCTCCCTAAGACTAGACAGGAGGGTTTGAAGGGCAGGCTAGGGTGGGAAGCGAGGTGGGGTCCCTACCTCTCGGGAACACTACCCCAGGGGGTTCCCTGGTGGCTGTTCTGAGCTTACAGCCTTGGCTGAGTCACATGTAACCTTGGTGGGAGTGAAGGATGTCCTTCCTGCCTATCTGACCTTCTTTCTTTCCTTCCCTTCCCTCCCTTCTCTCCCCTCCCCTCCCTTCCCTCCCCTCCCTTCTCTCCTCTCCCCTTTTCTTTCTTTCTTTTTTTTTTTTT